CAGGCTGTGCGCAGCCCCGAGGGCTTCTTCCTCGGCCGCGCTAGGCGGGATCCTGTAATTCAGCGGTAACCTGAAACGTAGCCGCTGTGGCAAAAATAAATGCACCTGCGCTAACGGCGCGTTCATCGAAGGTGACACGAAAACGGGGTTTTGGCCTCCGACGCAAGAGGATGAGAGCCCAAACGTGCACTTCGCCGTAGTGTGATGCAGTTTGATAGGAGCGGCCGTGGGGCTGCCCTTAGAAGTGCTCGCTGGTTCCCTCCGTCTCTGCACTGCTCTTTTTTTTTCTCCCAAAGTCTTTTGGAAGTGATGCTATTGAATGTACTTTTGTCTCTCACTAGATATGGATAACAGGAAGGATGAAAAAAGTAGGACACTGTGTGCAACTTCACAAGAAGGGCTGAAAGTCCGAGGTAGGCATTGCTAATCTGTTCCCACGCTGTGGTGGTATGTGCGTTATCCTTTATGTCCGTTACCACCTTTGACCCTGATGTTGAGCATTGTCCCTTGCTAATGGTAATAGACCATGGCACGCTAGAAGAGGGGGGAAAAAACACAACCAACCCCTCAAAATAGGGGTTCGTTGTGTTTAAGTTCTGTGAAGAGTCATTTTTGTAGACCATAGTTACTACCATGCTTGTCACTGTTGCCTTGTGTTATCCTAAGAAAAAGAAAAAAGGAAACGAAAACGCAGTAGAAGCAGATCATCGTCCATTTCATCCACATCGTCTTCTAGCACTACATCCACTTCTTCCTCATCACGCTCATCATCAAGGTCGTCTTCTTCAAGTAGCAGAGGTAAGCTACCTCCATGCATACACATGATGTTTACCAGTTTTGATAGCACTCCAGGAAACATTTAAAGCTTATTTTAAATGTGGCTAAACCACCACAAAATGACAGTGTAGAATACCAGTGCTGCACGTTCAGAGCGTTTCCCTCATAACCCTTTCCTATTCTGTGTAAAGGTACCTCTTTACACACAGTATGCAATGTTCTCGTGTTAATTTAAATAACTTCAAAGTAGAAACTGCCATTCAAAGAAATGTAACAATCGTTACAAATGTGCTGTATATATTTAAAACTCTGTATTCATTATACTTTCAAAACACAGATCTTTTTCTGCTTCACCCGTCTATCTAGACCAGAGTTGGGGTTTTTGATTTAGTCTGACTTTGGTCTTAACACTTCAAGCATTTAACTTTGAGGGCTCACGTGAAGTTTATTAATACCAATGACCAAGTTCAATGGGGATGCGTATGCAAGCATTGCAGGACTAAGACTTACCATACTAAGCTGCTGCTTACTTAGAGGACTTGGGGTAGATACTATCTGGGAGTAAGTGCAGATTTTTTATATGGGTATAACTTGTGACATCAAGGGGAATGTATTGCTGATTATATCAGGACTGCATTTGTATCAAAGTATTTGGTATCGCTGCAGGTAAAGTCACCAAATTGCTTGTACCCCTTAAAATGTGTCACACTAAACACTGAAGTGTATTTTATCCTTTTTTACTCTGACTGGGAAGAACTCTAGTATGAACTAGAGTTCTCCTGATGAAAAGTCTAACTTCAGGGTCGGCTGAAACTTCACCGTCTGGCGTAGGACCTCATATTTGTGACTGTGTATTCCACAGTTTAACAAAGACTTAGTTCTGCTTCTCTTGAAGCAGATTTACACCTGTATGGAAATATTCCTTGTTCTCATACTTCAGTGGCTTGATTCAATGTATCTGACATAAATAAATTCTGAAACTATTCAAACCTATGACCTCGTACATTTGATGGGGGGAGGTCTTCCTTTCTTCTTGAATGAATTTTATCCCATGTGATATACTCTAAAACTTCTAAAAGGAATTAAGATGTCATGTCAGACACTGACTGTGAACATGCTTGGCATGCTCTCTGGTTCATCTTTTGGAGGGATGTCAAGAAACGTGTATCTGAGGAAAAAAATCATTCTGAATTAGGCTCAAGTTGTCAGTCTGCACGCTCAGAGATTTGCTAAAACTTTACAGCTAAAAATTCCCTAAGTTTTCCCATTCACAGGGGAGAGCAGACGATCTAGCAAAAATGTCCTACAAGGGCATGTTTAAACAACTCTATTTACTCCATCTAGACAAGAAAAGATGTGAGCTAAGACAGATACATAGGTGTAGGTAGTTGCCGCTATGGTGAGGGAGTGAAAAATCGTTCTGTGACTTTCAGAGCAAGGAATAATGACCTTAAATTGCAACAGGAGGGATTTGAATTAGATCTAGTACAAATACATCCTAGCAGCAGAACAGTGGAATAGCTTGCCTAACCTGCAGTTAAAGACCTTGAATGACAAAGATTGCCCCAGTCTTATGTGTCAGGTATAGCAGGAGTGGAGTTAACATTCCTTGGGATAGCAAAATGGAGATTTCTTCCGGCATTTTTTTATCTGTCTTTCTCTTTTCTTATTTAGTGAGTGCAGCTGTTAGACACTGGGCAGTGGCTGGGAAAACCAAGAGGAGAGTAGGGGAAACTGTATCCTGCTCTCTTGGGCTGTATGCTCCACCCGCCTTCTCCAACCTTGCTGGTAGCATAGGTTATATGGAAAATGAAGCTAACTTGAATGCAGAAAGGACACGCTTTGTTGTGGAAAAAGAGACATCGGGATATAGAAACTGGGAATGGAGCTTGTTAGGTGGAGCTGGGGAGGGGGTTCCCCTCAGACAGGAGACACGCAGGCGAATCAGTGCTAGAACTAGGGAGATGAGTGGCTGAGTATGGAAACAGATTGAGCTAGTGAGGAGGCCAGATGGTGAGGGCTGGCAACTCAGAAAGAGTGAACAGGAGGAAAAGATGGCCTGGCTTAGCCTAGGAAGTCAACAGTTGAGTGCAGAAGTCCAGAGAAGTTCTTCTAGGGTTTGTGGTTATGAGAACCGTGGCTAGGATGGTGGGAGATAAAACTGAGTCTGGAAGAGATGTGGGCAAAGAGATAAAATTGGGCAAGTGTCTGTTCGCCATAGTGTACTGATTTTCAGAGTCTGGAAGGAAACCCAGTGTTCTTGAATGTACCCCTTTCCTGATATTGGCAAACATTTGTAAAAGCCCTCTGGCCAGGTATGCCATCCCCTGTGGGCGCTTAGACCAGTCCGTTGTTACCAAGAGACTGAACGTGGTGATAGAATTACCATTTTCATCGTTTCTTCTGACATGCTTGTGCTGCATTGGTCATTAGGAGGCCAAAAGAAGATTGCTTGGGCAGCCTTGCCTTAGACTTTTCTAACTTTTGAGTCTGGCTGTGCTCTGGTATATTCCTATAATGTTATCTTCTGCTTGGAATTTATTATAAAGAAACTGCAGAGCTGATAGCTTGAAGGCAGTCTGTTGGAAGACTAGTAAGCTGTTTCACAATCTCTCCAGGTTTACAGTCCCATAGTCAAAGCTGGTGCTTCAAAATCGACTTCCTCACATACCAGTCACAGTGTAATCTTTAAAATCTATGATTGGCTTATAGAACTTGTGAGTTTCTGCTTTACAAAATTTACGAAAAACCTTGAAGTTGGAAGGTGAGCTAAGTAAATACGAAAAGTTTTTCATGTGCCTTGAACAGCGATAATATTTTCAGTGGTTTGTCAGCCCCAGCGGTACTTTTTGTTGCCTCCTTTGAGGGTCAGGATCCCTGGCTATAAAACAGATATTGGCAATCAGTTGAGCACAGCTGCGGAAAGAAGAGAGAAGTATTGTCTCTTAATATAATATATTGGTATAAGTAATCACTGAGTAAATAGGGTATTTTCAGTTTCGTTATTAGACCAGTAAGTGGCAGTAAGTTAATGTGTTGCTTTTCTCAGGGTTAATTTCAACCAGTGTTTATATATATATATATATATAGCTGAATTAAAGTATTTTCTTCTTACGTTTTACATTTCTATATGTCTTATTTGTAAAACCAAATGCCTTTTTCAGAATGCTAAACTTCCAGGGTTTGATTTTGTTTTGTTTTGTTTTTTTTAATTTTAGATTCTCCTAAGTCTAAATCAAAGAAAAAGAAAAAAGAAAAACACAGCAAAAAGGTAAACATTTACAAAGAGCAATAAGTAGTTAGCAAACAGAAAACAGTTCTTCATATTTCGATAACCTTAAATGTCATGTAAGTTGTAATGCTTTTGTCTGTGGCTATGTAAATCTGAATCATGCTTTTAGGGTTACAGTAGGTGAACTGATAGGTTGGCATATACTTGACTGTATACTAAAGGAGAAATAATTTAAAGGTTCCTTTTGCCAGTCATTGCTGGTCCAGCTAGAGTTTAGAGTAGTCTCTGAAGAAAAGAGAAGTGGGGAATCTTGATAACTTTATAGAATTTGTCAGAAGAAACGATTTATAGTCAGTGAGAGAGTAGTAGGTTCTCGCTGTAGTAATTTTTCTTTTTCATTTTATTAGGACTTTCTGTTCAGTGATTTTTATATATTAGGGTTACATTAAAAGAGAGAGAATAGGGGATCAGACCATTTCTGTTTCTCAAGATCTCACAGGTTGCTAACCCTGCTGCATTACTTCCTGTGTACTTCAGAGAGTACCTCTTCAGCAGTGGTAAGGGCAAGCGGTAGTGGCTGTCTTGACTAGCCAGGGCATTGAGAGCTACTTGTGGATTTCCTTTTTTTGCCCTTGTGAGTCTGTAAGCATAAGAGTATATGTCTCATACTTGTAGAAAAGGAAAAAAGAGAACAAAATGAAGAAAAAGAAAGAAAAGAAGAAAAAGAGAGAGAAAACAGGACCTGTCCAGCTTTCTAAGGTATGCTTGTGTGAGTCTGAAGTCCTGTTATATTTCTCATCTACACACTTAATCTGTCCTGTCATAAAAATGTTTATAACACAACCAGTTTTGTCATCAGCATATAGAAACCCATCTCTATTGTATGGACAGTTAGGAAGTATAAAAGATTGGTGTCTGTAATTTTATTTAAGATTTGTAACATTACAAAATAAAGTAAAGCTTATGTCTTTCTAATGTGTAATCTCATCTTAGTTCTTTAAAAACAAAAAGAAGAATGAAAACTACAGCATGATAACCGGAAAGAAAATCAAGATGAGAATAAAGAAGACTAAGAAGGATAAAGAGGTAAGAGTTAAAATAGTCTATATATCCCTAAGGGAAAATACTGTATATTTTAATATTTTTCTAAGAGTAGTCTTTTGTAGAAGGGTAGATCTTACAGTTAGGAGTTGTAAATTGAGTGTAGCTTTTAATGTGGCTACGATGCCATATGAGAAATTTTAATTCGTTCTTTTGGCAGGCTTTGTCTTATGAGTGGGCTTGGAATACTCAGGCACGAGTAGATAAACCAAAGGATGCTTGTGCACATTCTTAGAATTTCAGTCTGTAATGTTAGCCGATTTGTGGCTTTCTCTGTTGATGTAATTTGCACTGTTTTTAATTGTCCTCATCTTCTTTCAGTCTCTTGTGATCAATTGTGGCAATTGCTGCTTTACTGTGTTTTTCTAACGCATGTGAGGCTAGCCATTATTTAGAGAGGAATTAAAAAAAGATGATAGTAGTAGTAGGACCACGTGCTCATGCATTCTCTCAAAGCAGTCAGATGTTTTTGCTGAGATACCTGGAGAAATAGATATCACGAATAGCATTTTGTGCTATTGCTATGGGTGTTTGGTCTCAGCACTTAAATAATATGTTCACTCTCTTCAGCAGTTTCCACACCTTAGAGTGATCTGCAGAGGGCTTCTGGTACTAGTCAGTATGTGTTAAAAGAGTTACTTTGCTAAGGTATCCAGTTTGGCAGATTCTGATTCAGCCGTAACAGTTCATTCTATAGCTACCAAAGCAGACCTGAGCATTCCAAGTTAAATTTGATCAAACATACGTTATCTTCTTTCCGTGGCACTGAAGTTTGTGTTGAATTATGCTGAATGCTTGCTAGCCTTATCCCAGTAACGTGCTTGTTACAATATTTGATGTCAAGTATTTGATGTTGGTCCCTTTTTGATTGGTGTCTATGGTTATGAACGTGCTGAATTTAACAACATCCATTCTTCACAGTAGTTTAAGATTCAATGATTGTTTTATGAATTGTGATTTTAATAACACTGGAAAGAAGCGTTTTGACTGTTTGGGCCATCTCTTATGTAAAGAAAGAACCTAAATTCATGGTTCCCTTTCTGTTATGCTGCAAACTGCTGCTTATGCATAGAAAAAAATGATAACTTCCCAAAGCACAAGACTTGCTGTGTGTACAGTGAAAGTTGCCTCAGACACCAGAGAATTGCATCTCCTCTGCTTGTGAGTTCTCTCCTGAGCAGGCTATGAGCTACATGATGACAACCCAGTGGAGCCTCCACAGGGAGCCACTTAGAAAATGTGTCACAAAATAGTGACAGTGACAGCTTGTCTCCTATAGCATCACTCCTGAGTACCCATTGCCTTCCACTTCCTCCAGACACTCACACCTAACTGGTAGCTAGTCTGTCTAGCTGTTTGAATGTGGTAGCGTTTGTTGTGCAGCATGCTGAGATGTGAAAGCCCCACAGAAAGCAGGGTTATGCAGCCTTGGTCCGCTGAGTACAGGTCTGTTAAACTGCTGCCTCTGCTTTTCTGCTCTACAGAGAGACCGGAACCGTGCAGAACTCCTTGAGTTTCTGAACTCTGCCTTATAATGGGAGGAGTGCTGACCAAGGACTTGTAAATATGCCAAGCCAACGATCATCATGCCTAGCAAAACACTAAAGGGAAACTCAGGGAAAAGGACGCCAAGTTTGACAAGACCAGACCCTCCTGCTGGGAGAAGACAATCGGGATGTCCTTTTTGTTAATGGCAAACTGAAGAGTAACTGATAACTTGTTAATGAAGATCCATGTCCTCCTTTTGAGATCCTAAGGTAATAGCCAGGCTGTGGTGTTTTAGAAGAGCCTAAGAGTGTGTCATTGACAATGATAAGAAATGACACACTGAAGTCCAATAATGTAATTTCTATCCTAACTGCATGCAGAATGCACTCTTAATTTCAAATGTCTTAATGTTTCTAGTAGTTTAAGCAAAGCAGAGTATTTGTAAATGTCTATTTGAAAGATGAGGCGTTTCTATATGTATATTTTTTCCAGTAGTGGTTTTACGTCCTAAAGAGCAAGTTGACCTTTATAAATAGAACATGCTTTTACATAAATGATTTTTTGACAGTTCATTCACTAATACATTATGTTCTTTTAGAGTTTGAGATACAATCTTTCCCTGGACAGGTTATTGCTCTCTCTCACTAGAAAGTGTGACGGTAAAATACTCTAGAGCCGTAATGGTAGCTGAATGATTTTTATCCTAAAGTAGAAGCAGGAAAGGTCTCTGGTTTTGTTTGTTTATCTGGATCAGCTGTTCAAAGGCAGCTCACAATAGATAGTTTACCCCCCGCATCTGGAGTTGCAGTTCCTAGACCTAAAAACTCGGGAGTTCTGGCCCACCTTTCTGATCCCATGAGCTGTGTATCAAATCTTCCTCCGCCTGAAGTGCAGCAAGACACATATCGCATATCTTAGTCTAATGGAAAGAGAAAGAGCCGTAGGAATGATGCCGAGGCAGGCAGTGACAGTGACCCTCCAGGTGTGTTGACAGTCCACTGTGAGATGAGACAGGTCTGGATATGCAGCTGGACCCCAGCGTAACTTGTGTGTGTGTGTTAGCCGTGGTAGTTTGCTCAGTGCTTGCTCACTTCCTTCAAAAGCCTTGACTTTTGATTACCCAGCAGGCCCCTGTGTACATAACCCAGATGTGGGAATTCCACTTGAGTCCCTTGTGTAGCAAGTTCTGCTTGGGAACCACAATTTAGGAATGCCTGAAGAAGGGAGTCAAGGGTAGTTGACTTTGACAACAATATCAGGTGTACAGTGGTCAAAGTGTGGGGAGTTCATTAAAGAGCAAACAAGCAGAAAACTCTTTGTGTCTGTGTTTGCCATGGTGTTTTAAGTAAATCTAACGATTTGTACCATTGCTCAAAGGATAATTTTAAAACTGTTTTGATGTGTGAAAGCTTCTGAAGGTGCTAGAATCCTGCCTTTTCCCTAGGGTTGGTTTTTTTTTTTTTGTGAAACATTTTGCAATTGTTGCAGAGATGTAACTCTTTAGAGAGGAAAGCCCTGATCTAGAAGAGCAAGTCCTTACAACCTTATGAACATAAAACATGAAAACACATAGGTAAGAACTGGAGTTTACTTGACTTTTAACCTGGTGATGAAAGCTTTTTTTGGAAGCGCTGTTCTGAAATGTCAGTAGGGGAAAAAACAAGCAAACAAAAAAAACCCTCCTCCTTTTTTTTCATGGGGATCATGCTTTGATTTACGCTACTTTGGTATCTTCTAGGTAGCGATGCCAAAGCATCTTGCCTAGATAAGCAGCTTTTATCTCTGGAGTTCTCTTAACAAGGTTAATCCCAAACACACTCTTAGAAGACACTAACATCCTTGCCATTCCCTAGGTTGTATTTTATGTAAAGATAGTATCACTTCCTGAAAATTTGGGGGGAGGAGGCAGGGGAGTAGAAATTTGGAAGATAGAAAGCAAATAGGAATGGGAAACCCAGAGATCACACTTGTAAAGAACTGCATTGGTTGGAAGGTTCAGACTTAATTGAAATAATCTGCTTTTTGCTGCCTTATTCAAGATCGGTCAAGATCATAAAAACTCTTTCAGTGTTCCATGCTAGTACGGAAAAGGCAAAGGACCTTTAGTAATACGATGTGGTCCGTTCCTCTTTTAGGGTTTTGGTAGTTGCCAACTCTGGCTGTACAAAAATGAGTCAGACCACTTTTTCTTTAAAAAAAAAAAAAAGAAAACTTTCTATTTTTGCTGTTTGAGGACAGAGGAATTTTTCCTGTTCAGTTTTGACATGCTGGATATGCTTTGGTGACGCTTTAAAGTATTTCTATGCCAGTATTTCCTTCTAAGCTATCATTTCTTTTAGAAAGCCAAGCTGCTTAGTTCTGTGGCAGTGATTCAGTTTTATTCTCTCCTGCCCAGTCAGTTTTAAGTGCCGTCTGAAACTTCCCAGCAGTTGCTGCTTTTATAAGCCTCCTTTTCTTTCCTACCCATCTCCATGTAGATTCTTGGGTTTCTAAAGAGGTTTGAGTTCATGTTGCATCCTTCCCTCCCCCATCTTTCCCCACAAGCACTGAGATCACGTGCATCTTCTTGGGACTGAGTATCTTTGAGGCTGCGGTTTGGAGCTGGCCAACAGATTCCAGTCTCCCTAGCGAGCACAGGCCCATACAACCAGAATAATTGTCCATGCCTTGCCACTTCAGGAAAGAAGTTAATTTTGTTGACCTTTTCACTAAAGCATAGCTTCTTCATACTGCTTCAGATTACTATTATGGCAGCTGAACCAAAGACTGAACCAGATGTGAAGGTTATTACAGTAAGGTAAGAGATGTAGAGAAATGTGATGAAATACAGATCGAGAAATTTGCATGAGGGAACTGTGAGGCAGTGTGGGATGTTGATCTGATATGCAAATGGCTGATAGAGAGCCTTGCTACCAGGTCTCAAAAAAGCGCATATCGCGGGGGAAGATGAAGGCTGGAACAATAGAACAATAGAAAAGATATCGAGGTAGGGATGGAGGGAGACTGCTGCTGTCAGAAGTCATGGAGTGGGGCAGAGGTCAGGTGATAAGGAAAGGGCTGCAGAAGCTTACCTGGCTGGACAAGTTGAGATTCTTGCTAAAATGCTGAATAATAGAAGTCTTTTAGATGTGAAACCTACCTTTTTGTATGTGTGTGACAGTCTTCCCTATCACACCCACTTTCTGTGTCCCTGCACTGTTTTCCATTCTGGGAATCATGCAGAACTCAACTGAATTTTTTTAACAACAGAAATTCCAGAAACAGAAGTCACTGGGGTGGAAAGGAGGGGAAGGATATATTCTCTGAGCTGCTGCTGCCATGCCCATCCTCCTTGGCACCGTTCTTTCTAAGTATTCTATCCCATTTACAAAAAGTTGTGCCACAAGCAGCAGAATTGATAAGACTTGGTCCCTTGGGATTTGTGCCCGTTGCTTTTTAAGCCCTTGCTACCACATGAGTCCTACTTCCGACTTGTGTGCTGTAGTTAGGCAGGCGTAAATGTAAAATGGCTGTGTGGTTTTCATCGGTCTCATGGTGGAGGGTGCTGATTTGGATCTCCTGGATCTAGTGAGTAATTGTCATGAAGCAGGAAAGGAACCAGGTATTTCTAAAGATCTCTCCACAATTGATACAACTGGTAGTAGTTCCAAAAGTTATTGGAAGGGGATGGAGCACAGTTACATAAGTTTCTTTTCTTATGCAGGGAAAACAGGCAAAAACCCAAACATGAAAGAATCGTTGATGCAAGTAATTAAGTGATTCAGCCAGTTCTCATGGGCAACGCGATTCTTTGTTACTTGTTTCCTTTATGATTTGCCTGAACTTGACTCCTTTGCTCGTGCAAAAATGTACAAGAGATCAAGATGAGAAAATACTTTTAAATACCACTTTGTCTTGGAAGTACGTGCCTCCATTGAACTAAGATATATCATCCTGCAGTGCTGAGCAGGGCCTGCAATTTTGATACCTGTTCAATATTTAGTATGGTTAAACTTAGGCAAGTTGTGCTGTTTTGATGTACTTGGATGCTCCATGCTGCAGGAATATATGAGCTTCCCAGTCATCCTCTGCAGCAAGGAAAACTGAGTGAGCTCTATATGCAGGGGAAAAGCAGAGGTCAGAGAGGCTGAAGTAACTTGCCCTGGGGTCGCCTTCTGGTGAGGTGCAGGTGGGGGCCTTGACCACGGGATGGAGCTCTGATATGCTTTGTTGTACGTGTTTAAACATACTCCTTCTGGTCTTTGCTGTGCATATTTAGAAACAAGTTTCGAAAGTTCTTGCTCAGCTGTCAAGGTTGAGACCTCCACTATCATTTGGGAACTCCGTGAAATGGCTGGATTTTAACTGGTAGTGGGTCCTCCTGAAGGATATGAGGTTGTGGGCACACCTGAAAATCCTCCAAGTCTGCTACTTGGTTATATTTGAAGCTGTAGGGTGATAAGCTTTTGAGGAGCTGCTTCTTAAAATTATTGGCAAACACCCAGTCTTCTAGTTCCATCTCTGGATAAAATGGATCATCAAAATTACTGTCTAGTGCAGGGATCATGATTTATTTGGCTGTTGACAACGGGTATTTTTTCCTGCCTGTTGAATTTCGGTCTTAAATTGTGATTCACAAGGAGTTTGAAACGTCTAGTGTTTTCTGAGGAAAGAGCTGGACATCATGCTGAGGGCTCTAAGGAAAGCATGTTTTGAGCCTTTTCAAGCAGTGTGAAGAACACCGTTAATACCCAGTCTGATGAGTGTACATCGATCACAGAGGCACAATGTTTATGATGACAACTGTTGTGATACCAGCATGCTGGCCACTGGTGCTGTCTTCCAATAAGGTGCTAAACACTACAGCTAACATCAGTTGTGTTCGTTTTGCTCTCCATTCGTGAGCTGTCCTCTGGGTGACAGTGGTGTGAGAGAAAGGTAGCACGAGAGTGAGGAATCTGTATTTGCCAGGAGAGGCCTGGTTAGAAAGTTGCTGCCCGTTTCCTGGTTAATCAGTGCTGGGAAATCTGCCGGCAGGTGGCATTGCTGTCCAGCTGGACGGTCACAGAAATGTAATTTATTTATTTAGTTATTTATTTACCTTTGGACATTGGCTTTGCACTTTCTTATTCTGAAACCCTATAATTAGCCTGCAAAGGCCTAATTATGTGTTGTTTATGGGGAACATTTGTTACTGCTGTCCTATGAATTTCATCCAGTCTTTCTTCATTTCTTGTTCTTGGGTGTGCTGTGGACAGACAATAGTCTCTCCTGCTGGTGCTTGTGTGCCAAAGGCAGAAGGAAGCCTTTAACTTCTAAGTAGTTGAATGCAACAGGAGCAAGTTGGCTGAGAGCCCGTAGGGACCTGGAAGGATCAGGTGTTCTTGCACCATCCGTACCTGGGGCTGCTGAGTTCTTCAGGAACTGCACCCTGCTCTTCTCCATCTCTTAAATAATTTCAGATCTCTAGTGCCGGAATACAGAGAAAAAAAAAAAAATACCTGAGGAGTATTTCACTGTCACTGCTTCATACCACATCTGGTTATTTAAATAGTCTTCAGACTAAATTAGGTGCAATCTGTTGCTTTAGGCAACCTGACGCTGCAGAGAATAAGGTTGGAAAAGGTACTGCACAATGACTGTGACCTGATAGAGCCCTCTGAGAATACAGCATTCTGATCACTAAACAGTAATTAACATTCTGAGAGTAGATACTCTGATGTAGAAACACATGCTCTTTCCCACACTTCTGCAGTATCTGCTATTGGGTCAGATTAGATTTATTTGGTAGAGGCAAAATGTAATTGTGACCAAAATATAGAGGTGAGATGCTATAATCTGGTTATCTAGCCAAGACCCTAAGAAGTTATAATTTTATGAAATATAATTCTGTACAATATACACAGATAACCATAGAATCATTAAGGTTGGAAAAGACCTCTAAGATCATCGAGTCCAACCATCGACCCAACACCACCGTGCCCGCTAAACCATGTCCCTAAAGTGCCGCATCTACATGTCTTTTAAATACTTCCCTGGGCAGCCTGTTCCAATGTTTAACCACTCTTCCAGTAAAGAATTTTTTCCTCACGTCCAATCTAACCTCCCTGGTGCAACTTGAGGCCGTTTCCTCTCGTCCTATCGCCAGTTACTTGGGAGAAGAGACTGACACCCACCTCGCTACAACCTCCTTTCAGGTAGTTGTAGAGGGCGATGAGGTCTCCCCTCAGCCTCCTTTTCTCCAGGATAAACAGTCCCAGTTCCCTCAGCCGCTCCTCATAAGACTTGTTCTCCAGACCCCTCACCAGCCTCGTTGCCCTTCTCTGGACACACACCATAAATCGCCACATAATTCACTGTGCTTCTTGTAGCCCTTTTCCTCACCTTTCTGTCATGTTTATTAAGATCTCACCCTGCAAAGATTTTCCCTTCGTTTGAGAATATCTTTGTGCAGCAACTGCACAGAAAATACATGGTAGTCATTGGGAGACCTGGGCCCAAGACCCAGCTCTCAGGGCCAGCACAGTATCTTTCTGATGTCAGCCAGCTTGAAACATGGCTTGTCTGGTCATACAAAGGGAACAAGAGGTCCCTTGTGCCGACAGCCCACAGCATGGACGGCAGTACCAAGGAAAGGCAGGCGCTGAGATTATGATGTCTCTGCCTGGCACAGGTGGGTGGAACTGAGGGAGGCTTAATAGCCCTACCTCTGTTGCAGGGCACAACCAAAAAGGCATTGACTCATGTAGTCCAGTGCTCCTCAGAATGCTTTTGGGGCAAAACTGCAGTGCATTGTCCTTTATCAGGGAGGTGTAGTAGAAGACAGGAATATCAGAATGGCCATCCAGTCAAGGCCTAGCCATCCATAGTTTTCCTCCTGAGAGAGGCCTATAGCAATGTTTTGGGGAAGTAGTGTAAGCAACAACACAGATTTGCTTGTCCACAGCTTCTGGCAAGGAGTGGCTTAAGCCCTGTGCTGTAGGCTGCATCCTGACCACTGTGGTTTACTAACCCTCTGAACTTGCGTAGTCCCCTTTTGGAACCACTCATCTGTCTGATCTCCAGAATATGCTGAGCAATGCAATCCATACTTCAGTAATACTTCATGTGGGGAAAAAAATCACTTCCTTTTGTTTAACACATGCATGCTTTGCATGTACAATGCTTAGCAGAGGAAGCCCTGGGCCATCTGCTAATATTAAGGTGTTCTAGTACCCAGGATCAGGTACAGAATCAATAGGAGTGACTCAAAAGCATCTGGAGACAAAACATCCGTTTTGTCACTTACATCTTCTCATTTTGTGGCAATACTAGTTAATGTAAGATGTGCTTGGAAGCACGTTGATGAAGACTTCAGTTCAAGGTTGTATCTGTAAACCACTTGGCTTCAGAGAATTTCAGACCTTTGCAGTTGTTTAATCCTGGTTATTTATCACCTTAAATCTTGGGATCTGTTTGTAGAGGTAGCAAGACAGAAGGTAGGTGGCTGCGTTTGTAGCCCGTAGAGAGAGGATGGGGGTTTTTTTGTTTAGATCAAGTGCCTTTACCATTCTTGCCTTCCCCCTCTGATACACACACAGTAGGGCAGTGGAACAGCTGTTGTGTTTGGCTAGATGTGGACAGATTATATTTCAGGAGATCTTTAATTAAAGACAACAAGTACAAAAAATTGTTTTCTATTTCACAGCTTTGCTTTAATTCTCTGAAGTTCCGTGATGAAATGTATAAACAGTGCAATCTCAGCAGACAGGTATTTCCTGCAAAGCTTACTCCCAATTCCCCACGGCATGATAGCTGTCTGAACTATATGCTGATATGGGTGAGGAACCTCACCTTCTGCACACCTTTGCTGGCTACCACAGCCTGTGGGCCAGGCTCATCTGTAGAAGCCATAGAAGCAGGGCTACGTAGTCTCTCTCAGGTGAGTAGTGACTCTGAGGAGTGTTAGTCCTTTGAAGGTGAGCAGTGCAGCTGGACAGCTATAGAGGTGTTGCCATTACTTGTTAGAATGTATAGTAAGTCTAGGACTGCTTTCTCCTGGGTGTAACAATGTTCTTTGGACAGCATAACACTATCAGCAATGGGGCAACAGCGATGCTCTGGGCTGATACCAAAATCCTTGCTCAGTTTCGAGAAAATGATTGAGCATTTACAATGATTCTTGTTCAGTTCACTTGTTTGTTTGCTAATGATGTGCTGCTATTTCACTTTTTTTTTCTTCCTAAAGAATTAAGACACTGGACTAGCTCTCAGGAGGGGCTAAGAACAGATCAGAGAGTCTCATCAGGGCTGTGTAGAAATGTTGGGGTTTTTTTTCTACACTAGCAACTGGTGCAGCCCAGGAGGAGCAGAGCTGTAGAGTCAGTTGTCGGTGAGGACCTGATGTTCACGCTATACAAGTTTCATGAGGGTTTACTTCAGACCAGTGTTAGTCCAGCTTTATGGTCTGCAAGCCAGCTGCAATGGATCATTTGGGTTAGCTTCATCCAAAAGCAATCTAGTTTGCCCACTGTGCCTGCCCAGTGCTATGGACCATAGCACAGTAGATGGGGACAATCAGGAGTTGCATGCTCCTGATTTGAACTAAAATGCTAATTTAGCCACACCAAATGTGGAATTAGGAAAAGGCAAACATGGGTGGGTAGTTGTTGCTGCATGCTGTGGCCAAAGGATCATTTATGGTTCAGTCTGCAGCATTCCTAACAAAAATGAGCACCACAAGCACAGTGCAGCAGTTGTGCATCCTAACCGCCTCCCCAGCTCTGCTTCAGTACCTGCTGGTGCACACGCAATGCAGAAGGTCACAGTCAGTCTCCAAGCAGCTGGCTATAGGCAAACATACTAATTCTATATCTTTAAGAGTATTAGATAGCAGAGTAAGAACAGAAACCTCATAGCTTGGTATCTGAATATCCCTTTATCATCAGATGCCATTGTGAGCCCAGTGTAACTTGCAGAAGAGGTACAGGGAAAGTGATACTGTTTTAAAGTTTGGATTACATTTTGTTGTAGAAATAGAAATTATAGGTAAGTTGAGGCACAACAGCTGTCGCAGGTACTGCCACAGCCTGGCCTCCATAACATACATGGCTTTGACCAAAGGTCAGATTTGTCTGCCTTTCCTGGCTGTTAAATGAGAATGGTATCTGCTAGCTGGAGGTTGTTAATGAAGGACACAGTATGATCGTAGGCTGCTGTGATATTGTGAACACCCGTTGTTGGGTGATTTCCTTGGCTTTGTA